TAACGGCTCACACTATATGCTGTCTTCTTGAGTAGCCCATGTGGTTACATTTCAGTATGACTGCCAGTGGCTGGATTACTGTTCAGCTTGATCAGGCAGATCTTGGAAAAAATGCAAAATTTCAAGTTGCTGCTGAGGCCAAAGCAATGTTTCAGGTACTGTAAAAGGCATGTATTTGTTTTGTTTAAGTATTGCAGTCCTGTTTATCCTCAAAGAAACAAATAACTTCTTTTTCTTTGAACAAATAACTTTTTCTTCATGCTTTTTAAGAGGGTAAAGAATGATCCGTGTCTTACCTGAAATACACAAGTTGCTCTGTGCTTATCTCTTTTCTGGGTGATTTGGGACCACCCAGCACAAGGTGTTGTGTTCTCAAAGACTAAAGCACGTAGTGTTGTAGAGCCCAATGAGCCCGCAATTCTAGCCAAGAGGTTGTTTGGTGGATGATGACTGGGTAGTTGGAAAATGAATGCAAGTGGTGTTTGGGGTGGTTTGTTTTGTTGTTCCCCCTGCCCCGAATCACAGACTGGTTGAGGTGGGATGGAACCTTTGGAGGTCATCTAGTCCCACCCCCACTGCTCAAGTTGGGCCACCTGGAGCAGGTTGCTCAGGACCATGTTTGGAACGTTTTTGATGATCTCCAAGGATGGAGACTCCACAACCTCCCTGGGCAACATGTGCCAGTGCTCAGTCACCCTCACAGTTAAAAAGTGTTTCCTGATTTTCAGAGGTAACCTCTCATGTGTCAGTTTGTGCCCACTGGCTCAGGTCCTGTCCCTGGACACCACTGAAAAGAGCGTGGCTCCCTCTTCTTTGCACCATCTCTACACATTGATGGGATCCGCCTGAGCCTTCTCTGTGTTGTCCCTCCAGCTGATATCATGTTGGTTTGAAGTTCCTCCATGAGGACCAGGCCTGTGAATGTGATGCTCATAGTCTGCATGAGTTTAGGCATAGGTACTGATAATGTGCTCCACACTCCTGTATGGAACAAGTTTATGTCCACCTGGTGTTCTTGTCAATTGTATCTCTTCCAGCACTGAGGATAATGAGAATGAGGACTTAAGGGAGAGTAACTGCCATTCCTTCATTTCCTCCTGCAGCTCCTGTATCTTGGTGGTTTCTAATTCTCATTTGTTGTATTTTTCCCTGTGCAGGAGGGATGAGGGGGACCAAAAGAACTCCATCACCATCTTCTCATTTTGTACTGCACTTCAAAATCCTTGTGCCTCAAACCACTCTTCATCCTGTGAGTACCTCATGAAGTAATTATAGTTGTTTGTTTGTAAGTCTGATGCATGAATTAATCTGCTAGTCATGTTCCTCATGAGTAAGATGACAAATGTGCAGACCTGTGAATGAAGTATTCTCTAGAGAAATCTGAGGGGCTGTACAGAACAGGACAGGATCTTGTGCTATACAGGGGCTCTCCTCCTGATGATACTTCTTCCCTTGGAAAGGAAAATTCACCTGTGTGCCATCTTAAGGATAACTGAGCTCCCATGCTGCCAATTTAAGGTTGCCAACTTGGCCTCTGTTACAGCTCTGTAAGACAGCCCGAGTGCTGAAAGCTGCTGGCAGTTGCTTAGGATGGAAAATCATGTGGCAAAAATGTAACTGAGTTAAGAGATACCTCCTCCTTCCTACTCTTATCAGAAGCATACTGGTCATGTCCCAGATTAACATGAAGTGCCTCAACTTCCACCAACAAATCTAGGTAGTGTATAGGCTCCATTTATTGAAGAAAGTCTCTCCTGGCCACTTGGCCAGGAATGTTTTGTTTGCTGCTTCATTCCCTAGATGTCTGCAGTCCTATTTTGTCTGCTGTTTGGGTAAAGTATGAAATATATCAGTGTAAAGTTAAGCAGTTTATAGCTCAGTGTTATGTGTTTTTCTATTCTTTTCAAGTATGCCTGACTTTAAGAAATTAATCTCACCTAAAAAGATTATTTAATTCCCCTGAACCTTGTTTTCAGAATGATAATGGTGCAGCTTCTGAAGCACAGAGAAGTGTCTTTTAGCAATATCAGTGATCCAGTGAAGGACTTGCTGAAGGAAAATGCTTCAAATCCTGGATTCATGCAAATTAGGAAGTTTGAACAAGGAAAAGACCTATAGGTGAGTTCAGATCTTCAGATACCCTAAAATACCTTTTGTTGTAGGTTAGCTTACCCAGAGCTAAAACTTTGCTCTGCTTTCTATTTTTGCTCAAACTAACATATCAGCAGAAGGTATGGCTAAGTGTACACAGGTGGCTTTCAAATAGTTCCAAGTCCATTCAACCCATGGCTCTCTGGTACTGTTTTCTGACCAGGAGAAAAGTTCTCTTTCTTACTTCCAAAAATTAACTTGAAGGTGATGTTTCTATGTTCTTACATTGCACCCAGATCCAACAAATCATGATGCTCCAAAATTCTCCAGCTACAGTTGTTCACACATCAGTACAAGCTAGCATCAATGTAGAAAAGCCATTTTGAAGTACCACTACTTCTGTGAGGCTGTGACGCCAGACCAGGTGCCTCAGAAGTAATGCTGGCTTCAGCAGCTGCCCTGTGCTTCTCCTTGGGCCCAGTCAAATCTTTGTGGTGACAGTTGCATTCAATAACTAGAGGCTTTATCTGATGCTTCAGGTTAATCTATGCAGTACTGCAAATTTATGTAGAACAATACAAGCATCAGCAATGAACCAGGCTAGACAAAGAAAGACCTGTGTCTTCTGTGAAGAAAAGCCTTGAAAACACTTATTTTAAAATGTCTTAAGTCAGTTTTTATGATCTCTCGGGCCTTCTTGCTTGCTATTAGAAGTCTGTAATTTTTCTGTCTTTGTTCTATTATGGTTTTGCAAAGACTAAACTAGACTTAACCAACTTGCACACACTTCAAAGGATATTTACTGACCTATATTGAAAAGAATGTGACAGTATTTTCCAAAAAACCCAGTATCCTGTAGTCCAGCATATAGACAAAATGCGTACATTATTTATGAATGAGAGCATAATTTGTTAATAAAGTTAGTTACTGCTTTTTAATTCTTCTAAATATCTTTAGATCCAGTTCTCTGTTACAGTGAAGTTCATTCATGTTTAAGGAAAGCATAAATAATCTTCTAGCTGGAATAGATTCAATCTATGCCCAAATGCTTCTTACAGATGCCAGGAAAGGGATCTTTATATAAATTTGAGTTGAACTCCAAAAGATTTAACATTACAGAACTGTAGGTAAGGTATCTTTCCTTCTCCCTTTCAATAAAATAAAATTCAGCTAAGGAATTCTCACTTTACCACAGCATTCTTAAGAGATTGCAAAGAAACATTTACTAAATGTTCTTTTAGAACTGTAACAAAATAATTTAGTAGAATTACTTCTTATATGTCTTCTTCCCCCATCCACCTCCTCTAAGAGAAATCTTCTATATAGTTTACAAAAATAAATTAATTTTCAGCTTTTCATTTGAAGGAAATTGTTAAGAGCTTATATAAGTTTAAGAAAATAAAACACAAATATTGAAGACTAATTTCCAAGATTTGTTTAAGCAACTCTTACTTTAAAATCAGAACTGAAATGCCTTTGAAAAAGACAACTCTATGAGAGCCACATTTAAAATGTGTTAAGAAATATTAGTTTTATTTAACCAGTTTTCACAGCTGAATATTTATTCTATAAAAACTTTACAGATTGTACAGTTTATATATAGTTCAAACTACTAGAACAAAAAAGTAGGTCCCACAGATGCAAAAATACTGTACCAATCCAAGGTAAAGGCAGATTTACACACTGTACAGCTCTCCACTGGGAAGGGGAGGTGGGTCAGTTCCAAGTAAAAACTTCAAAACTGTACAAAAATAAGGTTTGATTTCTTTTTCATTCTTCATAATACATTCAATAAGATTGCAAGCACAGATACCCAAGTAATAATAGATATCTGTAGTCAGGAATCAATAACCACTCCTGAAAGGAATGCAAAATAGGTCTATTTACACAGGGCACTCTTTTACACCATACTGTATATAGTGTATATTTAAAATAATAAAAAAGCATAGACAAAGAACATTAAACATCTAATATAAGGTAGTTTTTTTTAAAGGAGTTTTTTTTTTACTTAATAGTGTGCCAAAAGAATTTTAACTTATTAAATAATATATTCTAAGTGAACCTAAAATTTATGAACATAAAATGCATTTTTGGTGTAATACATCAATTAAACCAGCAAATAGGAAAAAAGAGAACCAAACCCCAAACTGTATATAAAGTAGTATTCTCACCCAGCAACAGAAGCACTTATGTAGTTATTAAAAAAAAAAACAAACCCAAAACAAAATGACAAACCCAGAGAGACTATTTAAAACCCACTAAAACTAACTTATAACTTAGGATATTCATACATAAGATATTCAGTGATTCACTAATACTGCAAAACAAGCTTTTTTCCCCACCCCCCCATTCCATTTCCCTCCCACTTCCCCTCATTCCCCTTTCCCAAGAGACAGTGGTTTCTTCATGCTATCTGGGTAAGAATTAAACATATTCCTGCCCCCTTTCTCCCACCCCTCTATACCTCCCCCCAAAAAAGGACAGAGTGTTTTCTTAGCATTAATCCTGAGCACACTCTCTTTTGGGGGATATGTGTGATTTAATCTTAATAGGGTTTAATTCCAAAAAATTTTAGAATGTTCCATTACTTGAGGTATTTCAACCTTCTTCTGAGACAATGCCTTGTATCTTAGCTGACTCATTGGGCAGTGAAAGTAAGGGCTGGCTAATACCCGTTTCAATTCTGTATTCTAATGAAAAAGAAAAAGCGTTATTCCAGACTTCCCGGCCACACAGAAAATAATGCAACACCATTCACTTTTTAATCCATTCTCTATTTGATACAGTACTAGCCAAAGATAACAAAAACTAGAGCCTTTAAAAGAGATGTTTGGTAGTGCACTCTATCATTTTTTTTTTTAGCTTGTGTGTGTGTGTCTACATACACACTCACACACATATTACATTTTTATATATATATATAAAGACATATATATGCACACACATACACTTGTGTGTGTATATATATCTATATGTAACAATCAGGGAGAAAGGAGTTTTTGTTCAAATTTAAGTGATACAGTACTTTTAAACCCCTTGACAATAAAAGGGGAGGGGGGTCCACTCCTGTTCCCAAGCTGAGCAAGGGGTGAGTTTATATAGGTTTTGTAAATGGGCATATTTTGTTTGCCCTGATGTCCAAGAAATACAATTCCAGTGTCAATGGGCATCTCATCAGAACTCGTCAATTTTCTTCTGCAGATATTTTAACATTGAGTCCATCCCTTGTGCTGAGCCCCAGATTTTCTTCAAAACTTCACACTCCTTTTCATTTGCTTGTTCCAAGTCCACCTTCATGATATTACGTACTAAAGCTTTGGATTCTTCAAGTACCTAGGCCAAAACCAAAAGGGAGGTGGATTAGTGTTACATGAGAATGGAGCAACATGTGCATTTACAGGTTTATATGGACGAATCCTGAAGCTGATTATGAACTTAAGCTTGTCAATTCACAGACATACTATGACCCTAAGAAGTGTTTCTCAGAGTCTCTCTCATAGTGTCACACAGGATTTCCTTTACCCTATACCAACACAATTTACAAGTACCCAAAAATGTGGAAAATAATGAAATCATAAAATTATAACTATGATACTGATAACTAGAGAAAATTCCATTTTGGTGAAGGCTAATCATAACACTATTATCCAGAACTGCTCAAATAACCAGGCAAGACCTTGAATCTCTTGAGCATTTAAAACAGACTGAAAAATCTTGTTTGCTTTTCCATTTAGAAAACTAATAATCTGTTTCAAAATCCAAAATTTCTAATGCACAGAACAGTTAATTTGTACTGCATCTCTTCTTGTAAGAAAGCATCAAACAGTGGCAGATTTAGCTATCTTGTGCAACTGCCAGTAGTGCACACAACCACAAATGCACTAAGTATTACTCATAAAACTGTAAATTCAACATAATGTCAAAGACTGCATTTATTTCCTTGGTAATTTAAATTACATCTCAAGATAACTCATCATTTCTGTGCAGTTCTTAGGGCAACAGTTTACACTGTTGATTAGAGTAAGTTGGACTTATGCAACTATGTTAAAACCAAAATATATTGTAAAGGAAAAGTCCAGTGCTGTTTTAATGTTCTTAACCACCATGTACTGTGGCATATGATAAAGAAGAGTCAGGTACAAATTAAAAAAAAAAAAAGTCCTCAAAACCCCAGAAACAATAAGATACATAAGAATGAGTTAAAAGGTATTGCTATACCAAAATGCAGTCCTTGTTTCATCAAAATGGTCTTTTCTTAGAAGGACATAATGATGTAGTTTAATAATACTTAGGTTAATTCTTATTAATCTAATCATAAAAATGTACTGTAAGAAAATAAAGGAAACTTACAACTGAATTACACGTGACAAGTTCCTTAATTCGAACCATTACTTCTTGCGTGAATGTTCCCGGCCAAAACACTTGAGAGACGAGTCCTTTGGCACAAGCTTCCTGCGCAGTCAGCTTCCTTCCACTGAACAACATTTCATTGGCCTGAAGGGATAAAAAGTTACTTCTGGTATGAAATGTAATGAGACAAACTCATTAAAGAAAAAAATGTTCAAAACAAATAAGGAAAATGCCTGCGCTATTTGAAATACTTTTATTACAGCTCTTCCAACTTTTAATTAATAAAGAAAAAGTCTTGCCTACAGATAGCTGGTTGGTGTTGTTGGCTATACCATGTGAGTAGTTATAAAAATACAGAGGTCTATGGTTAAGGGTTAAATGTGAAAACATCTTTTGTCATTTCCCATTCATGAATGTTCATTAGCTCTAGCTCTCTTGCAGTATTGCTGACTTGATTAACTCTATAGGTGGTAACAGGTTATAATGCCTGGCAGATCTGTAAAACAGCAATGAATACACCAGCTTGCTTTATAATAATGTTAGTTGTAGCAGTGAAGTCTTTGCTAAAAATCTCATTATCTGTAAATTATAAAGATAACCCAGTTTTGGTAGTAGACCTCCTGGGAACTGCCAGTCTTGGTAGAAAAGAACAGTTAAATATTTTGCAACTAAAGTGTTTTTTAGTACTAAAATGTTTGAAACCTAAATATATGGTTTCTTTTCAGCACTTCTCAAACATCTTCAGCAGTATTTCATTTATGATACAACATTTCAGATAGCTGGATCATCTTAGAATTTGACCTCCAGAACCCACTGAAATGAGTAGGATACATTCCAATTTCTGATCAAATTCATAGAAAATAAACATTCCCATTTTATTCAAGAGTTCAATATTGAACTGATAAAATCCTTTCAAAAGCTGATTTAGCAGTCTTATTAAAAAAACCCCCACATTTAAAAGTTCTTGTACATAGTTTAAGGGTACAGAACAAAGTACTACATTCTATGCAGTAAGGTGACCTCTAGTTCTGTAAATCTTTTTGATTTGTAATTATCATACACTTCACTAATTATCAGCTTCCCCATTAAAACGTCATCCTACAACCATTTATGCTTACACTGTAATTCTACCTTCAGTGAAGTTTCTTACATAGTTAAACTTTTTGTTTGCAGTGACATCTGCACAGAAACAGCCAGTGAAGGTTAAAAAGAGTAATTGTCAACCTCAAAAAAAAAAAAATTTAAAAAACCAGTTTTACTATTTCTTAATGACTAATTTACATTGAAAATATGACAAAGCTGTCACTGGACTCTGGGAATATGGGAAATAAGGCTGTTATAAAACACCCAAACCTGACAGGTGTAGCATTTCTGAATACAAAATTCTGAGTTTTTTAATGTTTTCTAATATTGGAAATTGTGGTAGTTATTACAGCAACTTTCAGTTAAGGATCTCAAGTTATCTAATTACTGTAGGTAGTGTTCCTAGTATTGCGATTTTACACATGAAGAAATTTGAAAACTTAAGAGGTCTATTACTTGCCCCTTTGTAGTAAAATACAAAGTCTGGGGTTTACTGGCCATTTAAGCTGCTGACTCCCAGTCCATTAGGCATGTAAAAAAAAAAAAAGAGATGTTTCCTAGGATCTTTTACATAAAGTTTATCATCAGCTCATCTTTCATAAGTTACTATGGAAAGCTGTGATTCAGATATATTAGTTTGAAAAAAAAACCACCCAAACCCAAGCCTCAAACTAAAGGTACAAATTATATACCACTATAGTTCTACCTTCTATGAAAGCAAAAATCAAATATACAAGTTTCATTAACTGTCACAACTATCCCTTCTAATTTTCCAGATTATATGTGAATGATACTAACCTGAAACACTAGCAAAAAATCAGTGATATATACAAACTTGTCTAAAAGCAGGAATCATTTTCCTAAGGGGATGTGGGGAAAAAAAAATTCTTCCCAAATAATTTTAAAAGATACTTAACATTTATATTAAAGATAAGAACATGAACTCAGTCTAACTGGGAGTTAAGAAAGTCAGAAATTGAAGTCAGCTGCTCAGGTCTACATATTCTTCACATGTATCTTTGGTAACAAGGATAAAAATGAATGCTAGAAAACCTTAATAATTTTTTTCTAAAACTCAGTAGCAACTGCTGTGGTCTCCTGAATGTGAAAAACCACAAATAGTAATGGTGCAGGTATCTTATTTCTGCCAGCTGTAACACAGCGTTAGCAGAAAACCTCACATGAAATGAGCACTCCCATTAGTGTTCTCAGTTGATGGGTTTCGAAGGGAAATGTTTTGCTCTGGCATCTTCACTTTTGATCTACACGCAGCATGTGCTAGACTCACTACTAAACAGGTTTTAATCATATAATCGTGCCTTGTATCTGCTGTGAAAATTAACACGCTTGGTGGTTAGTTTCCAAGAACTATAATACAGCAATAGAAATGAAGATGATAAAAATAGTTCATCAATACAAGATTCTCATTTTCTACTCAGCCTTTCCGCTTCCACAGAGGAACTTCACCAGGACATCCTCTGGTCTCTCTTTTACAGCAAGTCCTTTGAGGCTCACGGGCCACCTTTGTGCAAGCCCGCAGGCATTAGCCGCTGTGGAGCATGTCAGCCCCCCTGCGCTATGATCAGGAGGCAGCTGGTCTCTGTGACACCAGAGACCCTGGCTGTGATGTGGACTACAGGCACTATGGAAATGTGAATCCTTTATAACTGACAGAAAAGCCTAAGAAATACTTCCCAGTGTGTGAAGTTGATCACGTGGCTCCTGTGCTAATTTATATCCAGGACCAGAAAACCAGACCAAGAACTCCACAGCAGACACACAGTAACATATCTCCTCAAACAGACTAATCTCTATAATAGATTATTTTCAAAACTCAAATACCAAGTTTAAGAATCCTTCTAAAATCCTTGGTATTTCCAATACAGCATCAGTTTTGAATCCTAAGGATTCAGATTTCCTGTAATAATTAACTCTGTTGAACAAGTTCTGTGAGAAAAAAAACCTCTCTGACAGACCTGCTCACCAGCCAAGACTGACCCATAGGAAAGCATTTCCAAATGTAACTGCTGATAATAAAAAGAATGCACTGAATTTGACTTACAAGAGTTAAGGGTGGAACTAATATTGCTGAATGCATTTGTAGCAAATTTTATGATGCATACAGAGGCCTTAATTCTTTCTTCTGTATGATATTTTAACCCCCCCCCCCCCCCCGAATTTTTCTTGTCTCATACCATCTTTCTGCTGACTTCTCTCTCCCTTTTACAGATAGAAAGCATGCTACTTTATCAAAATGTTTGGTATGGATTCTGAATATATTTCATGGAATCTGCTGCTTAAAGTCCAACTTTGTCCCATACAGCATTGACATTGCTGTACTGCAGAGGCTTGAGGATAGTATGAAAACAGTGGACATTTTTTTCCCTTTTGCAGTGAATATTATGGAATTATCATCACTGGAAGATTTCAATTTAAGTCTTCGTATTGAAAAATGAGAGCATTCACAAACACACATGAAAGAGTATACTAGGGAAGAGCTTCTTGTGTTTTTATACAACTTCTGGAGAAACGAAAAGTGACAACCACAAGTCTCTAAAGGACGGGGATGGATGGAATGGATGGATGGATGAATGGATGGATGGACAAATGGCCAAATAAAAAGGGAAAGGAACAATCAGTAGTTTGAAACATGCTAAGATATTAAAGATACTCTTATAACTGTTAATCTATTTCAGTTACCTTTTCTGTTCTCTTCTAATAACTAAATCCAGACATCACACGATTAGTCATTAGATCTGTTCATACTGATGCTTTTAATATATCATAATCTGTATTTTTAAATTAATAAACACCTACAGGGAAAAATTGGCTTTTATAATAAACAGTAATTTAGGAAAAATGGGTGTAGCTACAAGTGTTTGTTTCATACTGTTACTATTCAACTTCATATTGGAATGGGACATAGGTCTAACAGTTTTCAAAGAACAGAGCATAAAAAATAGCAAGCAACATGAAAATAATGTAACTAATAGATTTTAAAATAGCTTTTTGTTACATTTGATTCTTTAATTGGAAAGCAAGAAAAGGGATACTAAGTTACATGGCTTATGTTTTCAGCAATGGTGCAAAACATTACCTTTTTTTTTTTCAATCCAGCATTACTGTAAATAAGAGTGCAAGACTGAAAAAAAAAAAAAATCCTTCACAAAGGTGATTTGGAGTGACTATTTCCTGCATAACACGCTAGTGTTAAACATCAGCAGAGATCTAGGAAGTTCAGCAGGACTTCTTGAGAACAAGTGCATGAAAGCTGAATTACTTATTTTGAATACTAGCATGAGACTGCTAATAGCTGGTGACACAGTGCTCTGCTATGTAAGGACACTGAGTGCAGACCAGCCCATTCTCTGCTACACTCTGATGCTGTGCTGAATGAAAGACACTGGTGGCTGGTCCTCACAAGGCATCAGCAGGGAAGGTGTGTCCTGGTACACAGGACACAACCCTTCTGCCACTGTCAGAGTTAAGGGTGCCCATGACCTGGGATTAGGTCCTGTGCCTGCTTTCTGTTCTGTGCATGCAGGTGAAGACTAGGTTGTAGCAGCATGGAGCAGAGAAGCTATAAATACCGGTTTCTCATGAAAGGTTTTCATGAGAGAAAGAAAAAAAAAATAAAGAAAAGACAACACAGCAAAGGTAGAAAGTCTTGAAATCGGTCTGGATAAGTTATCACAACTGCATTGTGAAGCTGTCAGCCCCTACCCTGCAAGCTACTTACAGAAGCCAGGCCCATTATCCGGGGGAATGTAAGGGATGAACATCCATCTGGACTTTGTCCAAAAGTAGTGTATGGTGTCTGAAACCAAGCCTTCTCGTTAGCCCAGACCACGTCACACAGAGGCAATATAGATGCTCCAAGTCCAATGGCTGGGCCATTTACTGCTACAATGATAGGCTTCTTAAACTGAATAAAAGTATTCACAAAATTCCTGAAGAGAAACAGAAACATGCACTCACTACATATGTATAAAGAGTAAAATATACCAGCCCTTGAAAGCTCAGTAATAATTAATCTCGACAGTAACATTACTTTCAAAACCAACCTGATAACCTTCCACGATGAGGTGGTTAGCTTGGTGGATGAGGGGAGAGCAGTGGATATTGTCTACCTAGACTTCAGAGCAAGGCTTTCAGCACTGCCTCTCATAAGATTCTCACAGACAAGCTGTTGATGTATGAGTTGGATTGAGCAGTGAGGTGGACTGAAAAATGTCTGAATGGCTGGCCCAGAGGGTGGTGATCAGTGGTGCAAAGTCTAGTTGGAGGCCAGTAATTAGTGTTGCACCTCTGGGGGTCAGTGCTGCGTCCGGTACTGTTGAACAGCTTCATTCATGATCTAGATGATGGGGCAGAGTGCACCCTCAGTGAGTTTGCCAATGATACAAAACTGGGCTGATACGCCAGAGACTCATGCTGCCATCCAGAGGGATCTCAACAAGCTGGAGAAATGGGCTGACAGGAACCTCATGAAGTTCAACAAGGGGAAGTGCAAAGTCCTGCACCTGGGGAAGAACAACCCCAGGCACCAATATATGCTGGAAGCCAAACAGCTGGAAAGCAGGGTGGCAGAAAAGGAGCTAGGGTTCCTGGTGGACACCAAGTGGAACTTGACCCAGCCACATGCCCTTGTGACAAACAAGGTTAATGGTACCCTGGGCTGCATTACAAGTGTTGGCCAGTGGCCAGCAGGTTGCAGGAGGTGATCCTTCTCCTCTGCTCAGCACTGGTGTCCAGTTATGGGCTCCCCAGTGAAAGAGAGATGTGCAGCTACTGAAGATGGTCTAGCAAAGGGCCACCAAGGTGACTGAGGGACTGGAGCATCTCTTGCGTGAGGAAAGGCTGCGAGGGCTGGAACCGTTCAGCCTGGAGAAGAGAAGGCTCAGAGGGGATCTCATCAATGTGCATGAATACCTGAAGGGAGGGTGCAAAGTGGACAGGGCCACACTCTTTTCAGTGGTCCCCAGTGACAGGACCAGAGGCAATGGGCACAAACTGAAACACAGGAGGTTCCCACTAAATATCAGGAAACACTTTTTCACTGTCAGGGTGACTGAACAGGCAGCCAGCAAGGTTGTGGACTCTACATCCTTGGAGACACTCAAAAAACCTGCCTGGACATGGTCCCAGGCAATCTGCTCTAGGTGACCCTGCTTGAGCAGGGGCAGGTTCAACAGGATGACCTCCAAAGGTCCCTTCTAATCTCAACCAGTCTCCAATTCTGTGAAAGCCTAGAATTTCTCCCAGCCCAACAAAGCACAGTAATTGGGTAGGTGTGGATTTAATGCCCCTCCTACAAGCACCAGCTGATACAGCACTTGTGGTATATTCACATGCCTCACAGCCCTCTCTTAGATGAGGCTGTAGTCATAACTCACCTCTGGGCACCAAAACCATGGTTACAGCTCTGCTTTGGTCTTCACTGTGTTTACGTATGACATTGGCATAAGGTATCTATATTTTTAAGTGAAGGTGTAAGTGAAGATGGGCAAAGCATTAATGAGTTTCCTTAAGGAGTATTTCTGGACTTGTGGGAGACAGCTTTTCTTCATAAATAAATCTGCCTTTTTAAATGATGAACAAGCCATAAATAGTAGAGCTCCATTATCATGTATCTCACACCTGTAAACTTCCCCTCCTCATCTTCCCTCTCTTGGTTGGTCATAGTGCCATGGGTGCTATGCTATTAAGTTACAAATGCGTGTTCTCATCCTCATTATCAAGATAAAATGACAATTCATTCCAGTACTCACAAAGTATGGATGCTTACATGCTTCTCCATTCTCAAATAGTTAATACCTTCAAGAGCTTCTTAGGAAAAAGTAAGCATGTGTGTGTACCATGCATTAGACTAAGTAGAGACTTCTAAAACATTGAAGTTGAGGTGCAGACATTTCTCAGTAACTACCACATATAATGAAGAAGTTGTCCATATTTACTTCAAGTACATGACAACTTCCGATTAGAATACAATGTACAATATACAGTTGTCAGCACCTGTAAAGCACTCCTTTGCTCTGAATGACAGATGATTTTTCATTTCAGTATTAGATGCTGAAATATGGGATTGTTATCAAAATTTTAAAAAGGGGGGGATTTAGTGGCAATTTTGAAGTTTGCTCTTTATCTGTATAACACATTCTTGTATTTCTGTGAAACAGGACATTTTCACGATACCACATCCATCACTAAAGGTTATCATGCTTCTTAACTCATTCTAGTGAACTGAAATAGATGAATGCAAAAAAAATTCTGGAACCATCTTATGCAAGCTGTCATACAAACATCCCATCCAGAGACTTAAGATAATTTTAATCATGTCTGAATATTCCAGAGACTACCATCTCTAGCATATATATGAAAAATACCATTATTATACTTGAAGGGGGTGTGTGTGTGTCATAGGTGCTTTAGGTTACCTTTATCCATTTTATTAACAATGAATAATCAGCCTGACAAATCGGGCTTCTGGAAGGGCCTGAATTAAACTAGTGACAGCAGCCGAGTGTTAAGAGCCTCTGTCCCCTGGCCACATCTGAAGTCACTGCATGAGCAACTATTACATGGAATGATTGAAAAATTGCCTTTGAAAAAAGTAACTATCATAATCTCAATGAGCTAACTGTGCCTCCAATGAAACAGGCTTTACATGTTACAAGGCCTTTTTTAGGGATGTGAATATTGATAACAACAACAGAACATAGGTCTCTGAAGGAATATAGATACTCTGGAAGCATACAAGAGCTAATCCAAGAGCCCAGACTCTCAAAACCAGTGTTCAAATGATAAGCTGCTTGTTTGCACTGTTAAAATGTGTCTCCAAGATCCATACTTTTTTTTCTGTATATATTCTTCTAGTTTATGTTAGTTCAGCTCGTTTTGTTTAAACCTTAGGTTTGGTATGTAGCATTGGGATGATGTTCACCTACTCTAACCTACTCCTCTAAAATATCCATCATTCCACTGCTGTGAATGTACTATACTGTTACTCATTCAATGCAGATCTTATATTTTTGTGTACTAGATTTTTCCTGAAACCCTATGGCTGTTTAAGTCTTAAAATTGGCTTCAACTGGAGGAGTATTACTATACTACCAGTTTTCATAAATTTTAGTAGTAAAAACAGCAATGTATGAAATGACAACCCAAATAGAAAGGGACAGGGAGTATAAAAAAAGTGCTGCATAGTATATTACCTAACAGGTCAATGTCGGAGATCTTGTTGAATTAAAGGCTTTTGAAACAAAAAACCATAAAACAAGCCAGACTACATGATGAAGAATACCCACTCAGATGATTGAAGGTAATCTTACATACCTAATAGCTTCTGCCATCTTAGTGCTTTCCTTTTTTCTGTCATCTGTTAAACGTCGTATAAAATAAATAAAATCAAGACCACAGCAGAAAATGCTACCAACTGCACTGAACAGCACAAGTTTACTGTCATCTGCAGCTGCTGTGTTCAGTGCACTTTGGACTTCCTTCATTACCTGAAAAATCAAAAATTCATTAGAATCATCTTATTCCATCATTAAAAAGTAGCATACTGTTCTCCCCTCCTCCTGCCATGGGTTCTTTGACATCTTTCATTTTTCCTTAGGATCCACTCAACCATCATATTAGAAAAGTTAACTGTTTTCACTATCCAAAAATAAGAGAGTTTTAAAAAAGTATTAGAAGCTTTGCATTTCAAAAATTTAATTAGACTAAGATAACAAAATCATTAAGAAAAGATCTATTGCATGTTATCTGTAACTAAAGCACTCATTCAGCATTTCTGTAATTTGGACAGCAGATGGCATATGCAGCCAGTTCAGAAAAAAAGAACCTTAATTCAGTCCAAAGCTTGTTTCAAGTTGCACTTCGTAAATCGCCACATGTCTTATAAGAGACATCTACATGTTCAGATAACATCGTTCTTAAACTCAACTGAATTACACTTAAAGTCAATTCTATGTCTAACATCTTGCAAGCAACAGCCTGAATCTTGTTTTGGGTGTTGGTGCCTGAATAACAGGCATAAATGAGGCAAGGACTTAGAATTCCCCTAGCACCCTTCCCCCCCAAAAAATCAGAATTGTTCAGACCTCTGGATTTAGTGAATTATTTTCAGATGATTTTGTTGACAGCAAAATGTGTGTGAATCCATCTTGTTTCCTGACAACAATGTCTCTGTACCGGTATGCACTCTCCGTTTGTCTCACGCTGAAACGTAGCCTTTTATCAAAAGGTTGATCTCTCCTGTCATCAATAAACCTTCGTTTGCTGGCTGTGACTCCTGTTACAGATGTCTGTATGTTGGTTGTACCATTGGCTGCTAATGCTTCCATAAAGGTGGATGTACCTGGAAATAATTTAAACAATAACATTCTATTAATTACATTTTATTAGCTCAGCAGTTTCAAAATCCCTATAAGCATGAAAACATGCTAGTCATACTAAGAAGACACAGTAAACATGAAACTCAGTCCCCTGGAAGTTGCTGAAATGTTACAGAAATAGACACACTGCACAGAGCAAAACTGAAGTAGCAAAGGGATCCAACAAATTCATTTTAGCGTTGTGAGAAAATACATTTTAAACAAGCCAAACAGACCAATCATCATATACCTATTTTTAGAAGGAGGGAAAGGTTTATTTAACATTTCTAATACCAATGCACTTCAGTAGGTTAACACTCTGCTTTCTCCCTTTCCAACATCTTTAAGTCATCTAACAGCATCAAAATTGCAAAGAGAAAGCAGAAGCCTTTTGTTTCAAATGCCATGAGACGTTAATATACGGAAGAAAATGACACTTACAATAAGCAAAATAAAGAACTTGATTGACAAGATCATATAAAGCATAACAGTCTTTAAAGTAAAATGGAAATGAAGAAATACAGACTATAGTTCTGTGAGAGGGAAATAAGACCCATGCAGTGATGGATATTTTAATGGATTCATAGACAATGAGATATTTCTTAAGTCTAAACAATTTTTGCTATTAGAATTGGCAAATAGAGCATTATGTCTTTCTGGTCTTGTTCCCAGTCACTTAAATGGACGGAATTTGAAGGCATGCAAGTAAACAGGCCATTCCTCATGACACAGAAGGGACAGGTTTTTCTGTACTCCACATTAGAAACATAATACCGAATAATTAGCATTCATAAGAGAAAATAAGAGAACATCTTGGATCTATAATCCATCTGTATGTTAAAGTCTCCATGTAAAATCTCCATAACATTTGTTGGATTAAAGTAATGGAGTACGCGTGGGGGCGGGGACAGTAGTGCTAAAAATGTTGGAAAAATGTGTTACAGGCCAAGACAGGAAAGTTTTGAAAGCCTTTTCCTGAAAACTGAGGTCTGAGACATTTTTAAAATCTGCTGGAAACCCACAGCCCTTATCTCACAAACAGATACTTCAGAAGATCATGCATATGATGTCCTAAAAAGTACAGTTAAACCACATATAAATAAGTTAATTAAATGCCATTGATGTATCTTGCTCAATTTGTCATTATCTTTCTGAAAAAGCTATATTTTTAGAGTTCTAATAATATGCAAAGCTATGATTTTTAATTCAGTTTTTTTTTTTTATTTTACAAAATACTTCAAACACTTGTGGGTCTAGTGAAGACATTAAACAAGCTCACCTAAATAACTGGAACATCCTATATCTCCACATTTTAACTGTATTCAAATGTTGCTTACTTGGACCTGTATGCCGTATGAGAGATATTAAGAGAAAGACTAACGAAATTAAAATTCAGAACATCATACATTTTTCTATTTGTATTTCAGAAGCTGCCTTCAGCTATAAATGAAGTCTTTATATCAAATATTTTAAAATAAATATATCTGTTATGATTAATTAGGCAAGTTGCCTGTCAAAGGAGCTATACAATAATAAGTTTTTATTTTACTTTTTAAAGTCTTTCTTGTCGTGTTAGTGATTTAATCCTCTTCCCATAACACTTTTGTGAAGAAGTTAAACACAACTCAAGATTTTTCAATTGTTTGAAGAAAAATCAAGTGAAGAGTAAGAAACTGAATTCAGTTTGTGATCAGTCTCAGAGACAACAGAGGTGAACAAAATGAAATGGAAAATAAATATTTTATATTGCCACAGAAGTTTCACATTTATTCCTAAATTTTTCACAGCGTATCAAATTCCTTTTTTCATTTCAGCAGAATAAATAAAAATTTGATGCATACCAAATATGATATTGATGAAGGATGTGTTTTATACTTTTCCCTTGCAAACCACACTACGTTGATTACATTCCTTTAAAAGAATTCCCTTCAAAGGGAATTTGCAGGAACACCACTGTTGCCCCATATTTCATTAGGAACACAAGATGAAATGGTATCACCGGCCACAATGGTTTGTTTTTCCACAGGGAAGAGAAATTAAAACAACTGAAATCACCTCTGATTTCTAAACCCTGATACAAGATTTTATGGCTTCTGTCCTAGCCACAGTGAAAAAAAGTGGAGAACCAGGATAGCACAATAGACTAGACTAAACCAAAAAAAAAGTCAGTAAACTTGTGTAAGAGTTTTGCGTAGATCTTTTCCCACAACTCATACTTCCAAAGACATACTCAAATACCAGAAAGTTACGTCTGAGATGTAAGAGACAATGATTATATACTTTGAGAGACAAAACTTTTGGCAAGAGAGACCAAGATGTAAACACCACACACCACTTTTCATGCTTATCAAATCGGCAAGAGACCTTCCGAGTTTTTATATAAGCTCTGTCTGCACTTGTCAATAGTTGCAGTTTCAAACAGCAAACGAGGGACAGCTGCAGTTCCACGGAAGAAGTCTCCCACATCCAATCTTGTAAACACACTTTTAGGATACTTAGACTGGAATCAAAAACTTGATGGCTTTAGAAACCATACCGCTGCACAGGGAGACTTGCCCAGCTGGTATGGATTAGAAAACAGCACCGACAGAGTTAAAATACGTTGGTTAGTGTTTGTTGTTATTGCTGTAAGTTTGTGACCTTCCACACCTTAAAGTGTAGGGGGCTCTTTCTTTTGGCATTTGGTCCTCAAAAGTGAAGAGACAACTAAGAGCCATAGAGTAGTGCTTCATGCTATATATAAATAGACAAAGCTTGCATCACTGGACAGTCTTGGACACATGTTGCAGCGAATGAGGATGAAAATTTAAAAATGTGCCAGAGAGAATTAACTGTATTGCCATAGATTTCCTCATGTGAAAATTTGGCATTGAGGTTACTTATTTTCAGGTTAATTGCAACTATATTTTACAATTCTAAAATACAGATTTTGTAATAAACCAAAAGCAGTTCTGCTTTTTAATATGTTAATGGAGAGAGCATATCAAAGAAACAAAACACCACAGCCTTCTCCTTTCAAACTGAGCCTTCCAAAACCAATAAGGGTTTGGAAAAAAGACAATTTACCCTGGATATTGTCAACTAGTGCAGAACTATGTTTGTTTAAGAGGTAAACAAACAGCTCTTATAGCTATAAAAAACCCTTCCAACTGCAAACTGTTAATGTAATGTGATCTTCTCAAAGGTGCAGACATACTACTACTGTGCAAAGCTTCACAATAAGAGATGCAAAACGAAATGGACTACTTGCTTTTGCAGCTGCTGATCAAAACCTGATAACAGTCACCATTTTCAAGCAGCTGCTCTTAGAGAAAAAAAAAGTTACAGGCAACAGATAAGAAAGGAACTGGTCTTATTCAAAACGAAGACGGACACAAAATACAGAAGTTGGAAAAGGGGCAGAACAGCAAAGGTATCATCATCCCCATTCCACTGGCAGAAGACAGAAAAAAAGCCACCTCGCCAAAATATAAGGGGGGCAACAATTAAAATGCATGATGCCAGACATCTAGATAAACAGAGTTAAAACCAAACCAAGTAACACACAACTTCACAACAATCCAAAAGTTAAAATCCCAAGCTCTTCTCTAAGCTATTCGTGCCCAACTGTTACCATCTCCCAAATTCTTGAGAAGTTCAGTTTAGCTCACGTAGCAAGTCTTGAATACAAACACTCCCCTCCCTGCAACAACACTGGGGACACATCCAAACAGGTGCTCTAAAAACAGCCAAGCCTCTTTTGCATGTTTCTTAAGTACACATGTACTAGTGGTGGTACGCTTAATTCAAAGGTTTGTCTGACAGAGTACGCTGTTTCTGAAAGGCTTAGCACAGATGTCTAAGGAGCAAGCATAAGAAGATGAGAGGTGTGACAGATGCTGTTGGAGTATTTTCCCCAAATCCAGCCACCAGAAATTTAGCAATTCCTAAAATTTGCATGCCCAGAACCACAGGCTGCACCCAAACCCGTGTAAATTAAATCCTTATCCCCATGGGATTGCCCAATTTACTTTTGAAACCACTATGGTTTTGTCATCTTTACTTTCTTCATCCCTTTCATCACATGCCTTCTCCAGCTTTATTAGGCCCAATCTTATTTACCCTTTCTTCTTCTTCCAGAAGCCAGCCCAAGCCTGTCATTCTCCATGCCTCTTCTACTAAATCTTGGAACAGGGTCCAAAATGGCACACAATATTCAAGATGGGGATTTATAACATGGCATATTCAAGCCTTCTCTTTTGTCATCTGCTCCCTTTCCATAATAATTTCTAACAATTTTGGGGGTTTTTTCCTTTTTTTTTTTTAAACTAGCGCTGAGCAGCTGTTTGCAGAAAACTACCCAAGCAAAACAAACCCAATGGCCTTTTCCTGAGCAATAACACATAGCCAGGAACCAGTCATTGTCCAGGCACAGTTTTATGTTTTGCTATAGGCAAAGCTTTGCCTAGAAGTCTGTTTTGTCCCCTCCTCATTGCTTGGCATTCATCTGTGCTGAAAGTAATCTCTCAGTCACAAAATCACTCTGTATCTTCAGGTAAGTCTGCAGTGCTCACAAGGAGCTTCAGGGACCCTCCATCTTTCCTGTACCCTCACGCACCAACCATGTCCTCTCTTACACCAAGTGACAAAATGGTTAATAAGAAGCATCCCACTTGAATAAGCAAATGAACACACACCAGCAACAACAATTTCTTACAGTGTTAACTGCAAAACTAACACTGTATTTGTAACTGATTACAACTCAAGTACTGGAAAGGGAAAAATATGATCTGCAAAACTGACTGGGAAAAATTTAAAATTAAAATAAAAAAAAAAAAATCAGTGCTAGAAGTTGTATTTTTTCCTAAGTCCTTTCTATACTTTCAGTACTTTATAGTCCCCTGTACATATAATCCACAAGACTTCACGTCAGTTGTCCACTGCAGGTTGCCTCATGTTCCCCTTTTGGCTGCAAACAGTGGTGTTTTGCTACATGTTCATATGT